TTGTCCAAAGCGACATTTTCGATAACGGCCAGCCATTAACCAAAACGGCCATAGAAGTGCTTAAAATTAAAATGAGTTTACTGTTTCGGCTAGTCATTCTTTCGAATAATCAAGATGTCAAACCAAGCAGGTCTAACCAATAAAAAGAAGGTTTGGATGTTTCGTTTCCGCCAGCTACTAAAGCAGCCTTACTTTTAGGAATTGTGGGAATGGGTGGATAACGGTTGGAGACGAAATTAAGATACAGGAGAAGTGAAAGATCTAGATATTGTCTGTAGAATATTACTGTATCTGCATTTGCTTAAGTGATCTAGGACCATCATGTTGTTCGGTACCTAACTGTGGATAACAAAAGGATTTATGGTATTTATCAAAATCAAACGATGAATAATGTTGGGTCTTTTTTCCAAAGGTGCCAGGTTTGCACTAACTATATCTTTTGGAGTTCTTTTTTGTAAGCTATGAAAAAGGGTGTTACTTTGAGGCAGTTGAGGCACATTTATGAGATACAAGTAAAGAAAATATTGGTAGAAACAAAATGTGATCTTGGTAAATGCAAGGGGACATGTGGATAGATTACAACATAAGTGTATAATGTGTACCTACAATATCTCCACTTTTTCATACTATGTTATATTGAATCAGATACGTACTGAAAAATTTTTTGGAATTGTCCAATAACCTGCATTTTTGACCTGCATTATGAAGAAAAGGTTAGAAGCGTTCGAAATGTGGTGTTATAGGCGGATGATGAGGATATCGTGGGTAGAAAAGGTTAGAAATGAAGAGGTATTGGAAAGAATAGAACAGAGGACGCTATGGAAGTCAATAAAAAATAGACGAGATAGGTTGGTAGGACACCTTAGGCATGAAGGTCTAGTCAGAGACATATTAGAGGCAGAAACAGGAGTTAGGAGGGGTAGAGGTAGACCTAGGTTAGATTACTGTTCGCAAAAAGTTAAGGATGTGGGCTGTTCTTATTTTAGGGAAATGCGAAGTTTAGCTCAGGATAGGAAAGAGTGGAGGTACGTGTCCAACCAGTCTTAGGACTGATGACCTCATGATGATGATGATGAAGTCTTCTATAATCTCTAATTTTACATTTGAGGTGGGTACCATCTTTTCAGTAAGTAAATATAACGAGCAATTGTATAACTATTCTCCAAAATTGAATGATTCACATCCTTAATTAACTTGTTTTGTTTGAAACGGTCCATAATTTCGGTGGATGCATTATGACCACGTGTACCTATATAGATGTATGAATGTTTGGTAGTAGTGGCGTATGACGGTTTTATATGTCGAGAGTTAGTGCATGGCTAATATTCAAACCGCGACGGTCATAACCTAAGTATACGGAAAGAAATAAACGGGCAGAATAATAATTTACATAATACTCGGTCGTTCTAAATAAAGCCAGTGGCTGTTAATCACCTGCCCCCTATTATTACTCCGGCCGATCATAAACTGCTTTACGAGCGCCGAAATGTACACATATTTGCGAAATGACACAATTTATCCGTCCACTTACACCACGACCGCTACCGGTGTTATTACCAGAATTATTATTATTATTATTGGCATTGTTGTTTAGTCCGTTTGTCCAGCCAAAAGATCCTTAAAGTCAACCCTACTACACCGTGCGACGATAAACCCGAATGGTATATAGACGTCGTCCCAATTGGCTATCTAGTTTGCGTGGGTTGTTCAAACACGAATCCAAATCGGATTATACGTAGATCGTCTACCTATTTTAAGTAGCTTTGAGTTAATCATAAAATTTTTACTTGACAGCTGTTCGCGATATTTAATTTAAGGCTGTACATTCATTAATAAATGAAATTAATGTTGTGGTATTTGTAAAACCATTGTCATATGCTTGAGAGTAATTAGAGTAAAGCTAGGTTTTTATCCTTACTGTGCAGTACGTAGTCACATCATTCATGCCAGCGTCAGTTTGGCAAATAGAGAAAATGATATAAGCAATAAAACAATAAAGGATCAAATTAATAAAATATTATAGTGACCCTTATTTGAGTTTGCCGCTATGATATCGATTCACTTCGGTATGACTAGCCCCGACCAGGTTATATAGAGAGACCACACCAATATAGTTTGGTTGAACCCGGCAAGAAGGTGTGCAGTGACACCTTGTATCTCGGTTACCCCTTTCATTTTGTTAAACCTTACATAGTTAATTATACCCTAAATTAAGTGTTCCAAATATTATAAATAAACAAGTTGCGGTTCGTGGAGCCCGGTGTTTTATTTATTGTGGTATAACAGGGGTTGTGATTGACCCGAGGAATTAGTCGAGAAAGTTAGCGACTAAAATATATATTTAAGAAGAAGCTGACATAGCGAATATAAAGCCGAGTGATGTAGATCATAGTTTAGCTTTCGGGAAAACAGCTGAATTACGAATCTCCTACCCTGGTCCAAGTTTCCTGTGGTTACCAGCAGGATTTAAAAACGCTCGACGAGGACTTTTCCTAGTAGGGATATCAACTTATCGAACTGAGCTCACGACGAAGCTACTACGTGATACGCTACTAGGTAACGATACACTGCGTGCTGATGAGGTCCAATAAAATCGAATACTCACCACCAAGATATTTTTGTTCTGATAAGTTACATGCTTATAACGTAATAGTTACGCCGCGGTGTGGGTTCAGTCACACAAGTCGATTTCCTCATTAAATAAGGACATTGTCAACAATATTGAATTGCATATTGATGCATACGTACATGGTATGTGTAGATTAATAGTTTTCAGTGTCTTAAGATTTAAGGCTCGGAAGGTTCCATTTTGCAATGTATGTTTTTAAATATACCTATAGGGTAGTAAGTGGAAAATTCTAGGTTGTACCAAGCGGTCTCATTACCGATTATACGATAGCCCCACGATTTGACTTTTGTTGTATTAAAACGCTTTCAGAGTTGAAACAGGATGGATTTTTTATGAATGAAAAAGATACTTATGCATAATAACATGGCTAAAAATATGCGAAAAGAAGGTTTACATTGATTGCAGTGCTTTTGACGCAGTTTCAACCCCAAATGGGACAATGTGTAGAAACGTGAAGTATAATTGTATACCGAGTGGGGACGTATTCGTTTGTGTGCAAGTGAAAATGTGTGTGTATGTGTGTGTGTGTGTGCGCGTTGGAAAAATATTACAAGCTTTGCATTTATGGTCCTCGTAAATTATAGTTTAACGATTCTGGGTCCGTTGTTTTGAAACGCAACATAGCAGCAGCGAGACCGAAGATTGGCAGAACTGCAAATTATTCTCCTGGACAAAAGCGACGTAGCCGTACGCAATTAAAAACGGTTTTTACTCCCGTCCATATTATGCGCACTACAAACGGAACAACAATTGTCGTAAACCGCCACGTATAGGTACCTACTACTCATATAGGTACGTACGTATGTATATCCGACCCGAGACGTTGGTATTTGCATGAGCGTATGTCCAAGACGCAACTTAAATAACGCGTACGTATGTGTTCTATGTTCGAAGTGACGGAACACGTGTTTCAATTATGGTTAAGTAACATAAAAGGGACGAGCGGATGTAAGAATGGCTTTTACGATACTCGCGGATCTTTGGGTGTTTCTTTCTTTCTTTGGGTCCTTCCAAAGAGGATCTCCAGAAGGTGTCACATCTGCATACTCAGTAATAACGTACTATGGCAGATGGATATTTGCAAATATGTAAATTATTGTAATGCACTAGTCTTCCTTTCACAGCTACAAGTTACCGTAATATTAGCGACGCATTAAATTTGATTTTTTTTGTACCTAGGAAGTCAGATAACTCCAGACATCTTCTTAAGTATGAAGGGCTAGTCTGAGATATTTTAGAAGCAGAAATAGGTGTTAAGAGGAGTAGAGGTAGATCTAGATTAGATCACTGTTCATAAATGGTGAAGGATGTGGGATGTTCTAGTTTTAGTGAAATGCGAAGATTAGCTCAGGATAGGAAAGAGTGGAAATGCGTGTCTATCCAGTTTTAGAACTGGAGATATTATGATGATGATGATTAATTTTTTAAGTATCAAACAAAAACAGTTCTATGCAATGTATGTACAATAATAAATGGTTTTAATTAATACCCTAAAATGGATACTCATACTCAGTACACAATAGCGCTCAACTTCGGTTGATCGAATCAATAAATTCGGAAGCCCTGAGAGTTTTGTAGACAATAGCCGTTTTCTGCAGTTTTGTATTTCTACTTTTTTGCTTTTCGATGTCTTATGCATTGAAATTTGTTCCATGGCAGTTTCTGTCAAAGTTTTTCAGATAAATCTTCAAATGTGCTCCGATATATCTTCTTCCGTCTTTATTTTCTTTGACTGATTTGTTGAGAACTAAAATAAATTGAGATTTTGGTATATACCGATCCGCCACCCTTCGCATTTAAGTTTCAACTGTTTATGTCAGTTATTACATTGAAAGATCTCTTTTCCTCTATCGAATTCCAACAAGTTTCTCTTGCGTTTCTGTCGTACACTTCTCATTTATCGATTCTTGGTTCTTCATCAAGAGATTTTTATGGCTTATTGTCTATGTTTTTAAATTCGTTTCTTGCTATGCCAACTAAATGATATGTAGATGACAAATGCGAATAAATTCTTGTTTCTACGTCTATTTGAGCTTGTTTATACGGAATTGGAAGCTCGTGGAAGCTAAAGGACAACAAATTACCTTGGATACTTGAGACATGTATCGGTTTTCGATCAGCACAAATCTGCATTAATTAAACGATGTTAGTTTCAACATATATTTTTGGATTTTAAGTACTCCTGTCATCAAAATGTAGGTTTTATCAATTTAGCTACATATCTTTCATTTATCATTATTAAAATTAATATCTAAACATACTTCGGAAATACAAACTAGGTACTTAACATAGATTATACAGGCTCCATACATCTATTACTTCAGAGTTTCCTATCAAATAAATTACGGCTTAAACAAATGGATGTCCTTACCTTCGTCTATTTGCCTAAGGGCTTCAACCTGATCATCCCTTGCATACTTCAAAACCACATCGACGAGTGAAATCATTTTCCACGAAAACTGGAACTTGTCCTTGAGCCTCTGACAGAATTCGAGCAGAACTTCAGCTCCTCGCCCTGGAAATGTTCCAAATTAATTTTCAAAGTTGTTGCTGTACTGCAGCATATCTTTTACTCCGCTATAAATATTTTTCAAAGTTGGAACCTCGAGTATATTACCATTACCGAGGACATGCTTGATTTAAGCAAACTTTTAACCATGTCAACAATTTTCAATATTTCATTGGAAAATTTATAACTGGTTTAATTTTAGAAAGCTTACATGTTTTTTTTTTATTATAAACCCAACATCAATGTCGGTAGCATTTCCCAATGCTAACAGAAGTGTATGTTGCTTCTGTTAGAGGTACATATTACATTTGAAAAGCTAAAGCAAAAAGCTACCACTGAATTTGCAAAAAGTAAGGGCTGCACTCTTAAAAGTGTTAGTAAAGTGACGATGTGCAAGAAAATTAAAATTGTGGACGCCATAAGATTGAATATGTATTCTGGACATTTGGAGGTAGTTTTTTATCTGCAATTTTGGTACGATGCTCTTGTCGATTACTTTATTAGAAAACTAAATGACAGGAATACTTGTTATGTGCATTTTAACTCTAGATAAAGTGCTGGTCCAGGTCGTAAAACTTAAAACAAAATTGCAGATAAAAAAAACAATAGGAAAGAAAATTCGAAACGTTGTCTACATAGAGCAAATTATAAAGTACAATCCCTGCTACATAATAGCCAACTAGTGTTATATGTATATATATGTGCCATAGTTTACATTGACTTCGTTTCGTCATGGGTAAAAATGTATAGTATGAGAAAATTTCCGCTACGGATTACTTCCGTTAAAACCATCGCATTTTTACCAGATACGGCCATAAATAATAGGTTTTTGCTAGACAGTAAACTGTATTTTATTAAGGAGGTTAATACTATTCGATCTGTGCATATTCTCTTTTTCTCAAGCATGAGTGGATCCTATTATTCATTTTTAAATAGAAACTGAAAATTGAGGCGCCAATGGTCATTTTCACCAGAAGCCTTTCAATTTTCAATAACTAATTTATGCACTTTATGACCTAATATAATATAAATTTAAATTGAATTGTTCGAGTTTAGAACGTTTGGAAGCCTCGTACCAAACTTGAAATACACTTTACTAGTTCGTTAATTTTCCCATAAGTAGATGAAGATTATGATTTCCTTTGTACTTCCACGAAGTTTTAACGAACGGATATAATTTCGGTTGATTTTCTGATAATACGTTGATATAGGAATCTTTAAAAATAAGTAATGTATGCTCGAAACTTCATGAAAATCACTTTAAGAAGTAAAATCGTACAGCATTCGTTAAAGTCCATGTCTATTGCTTGTTTAGTATCTTACATGATTCCTCTGATAACTTTCAAATTTTGCAAAGATTTTTTCGCCATAAGAACTTTCATCGAAATTTCTCTACTATATTTTAAATTTCATGAAATAAACAATATGCTAATCACAGTTCGGTAAGGGGCTGCGATCCTATAGCTGTGCAAAACGTTTCCACAGGTGATTTTATTGTGAATGTATTCGACTTACGGGTAACGCCAACTAAGCAACTTTTGTTTCGCAACGAACAAAGACGCTTTAAGAAAACGTGAACGGAATGCGAGCAGACGAACAACTCCTTAAACGAGTCAGCTCCTGAATTCGATTTGGCGCGGTGGGCACTTACTTGTCACCTAGTTTACGACTCTCCCTATCTTCCTGTTTAATTTGTTTACGAATCTTGGTCTAGATGCAATATACTGATCCTACGTTGTCTAAACTAGATTCATCGAAGGAAATAATGTATGACCTGGTAGCAAGCATTTTCCTATAGCACTTATGTAAGTAGGTATACTATGAGAGTTCGAAACAAAAATCCCAACCTTTTTTGTTCACTTTCATCCCTTCCCCTCGTACTCTGACGTAACAAGATAACAGATCATCATGGTAATGGGACGACGGCTACGGATGAGGTTTCGCGGATCCAGCAGCATAGGGGAGCATCTTATGATCAGGAATCAACGGGTGAAGGGGACCTCATGGGGGAAGGGGGCTGAGCATCCGCAGAAGGGCTCAGGAGGCCGAAGCATCCGCAGGAGAGCTCGGGAGGCCGGAGCATCCGCTGGATGGCTCAAGAGGCCGGAACATTCGCAGGAGTGGGGCGAAGGTGTAGGAGCAGGAGTAGGGGAAGGGTAAAAGTGAACAAAAAAGTTCGAAAATGAACCTTCATAAGAAGATACATGAGATTTTGGTCCCGAACTATCACATCTTATCCTATAGCAACTTGGTAATGGGGCCTGCCCTATAACGGATCATCATGATAATGGAACGACGGCTACGGATGAGGTATCCCGGACCCAGCAGCATAGAAGCATCTTATGATCAGGAATCAACGGATGAAGGGGACCCCATGGGGGGAAGGGGGCTGAGCATCCGCAGGAGGGCTTAGGAGGTCGGAGCATCCGCAGGAGGGCTTAGGAGGTCGTATCATCCACGGAAGTGGGGCGAAGGTGTAGGAGTAGGAGTAGGGGAAGGGTAAAAGTAAACAAAAAAGACAAATATGAACCTTCATAAGTAGATACATGGGATTTTGGTCCCGAATTATCATCACCAATTATCTATTGGTATGAGTAGGCAAGGTTCTAAATTACATTAGCGTTACTTATCATATGTCGGGACTAGGGTTGCCACCCGTACTTTATTATAAAGTATTGTACCCTATTTCGACTGTGCGTACGTTATACTTTACAAGACACATAAAGTACGCAAAAATACTTTATTTAAGGCCTTAAGTAAACATCGTAATTTTGTAAGCCATTATTCGAAATTCAGAGTATTTTTATATGAATAATATTGCACAGAAAAACGGCAAGCCATATTTACGGAACAACCTGATTTCCCAAATCTGTTCAAAGTAGTGTCACTTTTGCTGTCCGTTCCGGCTTCTTCAGCATTTACAGAAAGAGTATTCTCTGTTATGAACGCAAGTGGCGGGACGACAGGAATAAAGCTTCATTAAAACTAATTAAAAATGAACTTTTAGTTTAGATACTTAAATCTTTGTTTGCTATGTTTAGAGGCTATTACTGTATTTAAGAGCGATAGCAATTTGTTACTGGCTGCTAGGTGTAACAAAAAATATGTTTAAAAACAAAAAATAAAATACTTTATTTTTATGCCGAGTACTTTTTTTTTAACCTTTTATTCGAGAAATACTTTATGTAAAGCCTGAAAAGGTGGTAACCCTAGCTCGGGACATTGAAGCTACACACAAAACCTTGTGATCTGTGTAGGCTCGTTTAGGGGAAAAAACTTGAAGGTTGTGAATACCTAATACAGTTTCATTACCACAGGTTGGTATGGTGTTAATGTGTAAGGTTTTGAAGCAAATTTGAAAATTATTTTTAATTTACTTCTTGCGCATATCTAATCGACAAAAATAGTTGCGTGTTTGAAACTCAGTTTGGTTTTATAATTACGCAATGAATTTTAATATGCCTGTTAACTTGATAAAAAAACTTAAATGCTCATAAAACTTCTTGTTGGCTGCACTTGAACACGATATAAACTTGTTGGGAAAGCATTAAATTTAAGTGATTTACCCCAACTATCTGACATAAAATTAAGTCATCGTTGTGTTGTTCACTGGAAAAATATCACAACAAAAAATAAAAAACTGAATCTACCATGAAAATAAATCAAAATAATATTGCAAATAAATCCCTTAAAATTAGTTTCTGTTTGTGATAGTTTCATTTTTTTACAGCCCGGTTTTACGGCTCATTTGGTAAATGCAATTTTTTACATCGCCAGTGGTTCCGGACACTGAACGTAAAAATTTTATCGACCGTTGCTTTAACATGGAAATGTCCCCAACTTTTCTTGGTTTATAGCTTAATTACAAACTTCCTATAAATTAATGTTTTAATTATTTGCCTCGGAAAATTGCGAAAATTGCTTTTAACATAGAGAAACTTAATAAAAAGAGAAATAAACTGTTATTTAGATCACTCTTCTACATAAATCATAACAGTATTTACGCCGTTTTAATGTATTAAAGGCAGTCACCGTTTACAGTTTATTTGGTGCTTCATCCTTGGCTGTATAGCGAAACACATGTTTTACAGGCGAATCAATGTTTTCGTATTATAAAATATGAACGCAAAAAGACTCGCCCTTTGCACATGTAAGACCCATGAGATTTGAACTGGCTCTACTATAGTAGTTCTTGATGATACGTTATTAGGGTCTCTCACTTCATGATTTTATTGAAAATATTCCTGTACTATTAGTCATTTGGCCAGTGCCACGATTATCTTTTTATGCTTCTGAATTTTGTGCTGTATAGACAGCAAAAAGTCGTGCCTTTTGCGTAAACTTTTCACAAGATAGATCACGTTCCAGTTCCAGAAGCATCGGACGTGTGACCGGTCGTCCTGCACTCTTTTTTAATGAACTTAGAACGATCTCATTTAATATAATTTCCATTAAGTATACGTATATGTAAATTATAACCGAAAAACATAAAATGAAAAAAAAAAATTGATCCTTAATGGTAAAGATAAATGTTTTCATTCGGGTCTTTGACAGTCCTACGAAGTATCACAAGATAGCCCCGTTGGATGGTATATGTATTATGTTAAGTTTCTGGAAAAGTCAATTAGCAACATTGTAAAAAATAGTAACATCTAACCGATTTGAAAAGGAAAACTTACGTGATAATTCAATAAGAATGCAATAATTATCATTTGATAGAATTTCATCTAATAATTGCATATGCAAATTGAGTATTGAAGTCATTGTTTGAATTAATGGCTTGATTTTTATGGGCCACGTGTAAACACTTAGGTATATATTAACACTATGTATATCTGAGATGACCTTACTTAGGACTTAATTTGCATCGCAATTTTCTTACATAATTTTTGCATACGGAGAAAGGACTTTGTGCTATATTATATTGCAAATAGGTAGGCTATAAATTTTTCGCATTGTGTTTAAAGCAATAATGATGTTATTACGAAATTGTTTCGCAATGTGGA